TAAAAAAATAATGGAGAATTTTAGAATAACCCCTTATCTATATAAATATAAATATAAATTTCTGAATAACATCTCATAAGATAGGAAAATTTCTGATTCAACCATCATCATATATAAGTGAAATTCATTATTCACCCATCATTGAATAAGAAAATTCTGATTATCAGCTAGTTAATTTTTAATAATGAGTCTTCAAGGATCCCTAAAATATATGTAAACATAAGGCATGGTCATAAAATGCATAATTTTTTTTGTTATTTATGCCAAAATAATCATGGATTAATATTTCCTCCATATATACACTTCACCTTTCTTTATTTCCTTGTGTTCGACAATTTCTTGAAATGTTTGAAGCATTAAAATCCTTATTTCCTTCTATTAACAATTCAGCACTTATAAATTTTGTGCAATGATTTAAATAAAGCATATCTGTGGTTTGCTCATTCCTTTAGTTCAAATAAGTCAGATGAGAATTAAAATATTATTGAAATTAGAGACCTTCATGCACCTTAATTTATTCATCAGGCCCAGTCCATGTTTGATAAGAAAACCCAAGACCATCCTAGGTTTCAAAAATTTTGCTTATGCCCATATCCAAAAATTTAATTTATTGTTTTAAATGAAAATAAACAATATTTCAGTGTATTTAGGCCATCAATTTGTTTTCATTACTGAAATTTATCTATATTAGAAGAAAAAAAAATACAATATATTTTTAAGTTAGTAACAGTTTAATAAGCTAAATTTAAATAAAAAATTTTTAGACCCAAAAAGCTATTAAATTTTTATATCAAAATCCCAGGCCTGACCCAAGTGCGTTAGAAAATATATTATACCTGGCAGCCCATGGGTCGCAAGCCACCCCATGAAGATTTCTGATGATTTTAAATCATTAAAATATTTGTTAGCAGTAAGAAAAAATTTTAAAAAAATCCATTAAAAGTAAAAGCAATATTTGAAACAAATGTTTAAAATGGACAAAAAAAATTAAATAGGTGCAATGAAGATAATTTATTAAATGTATAAAGACCTAGCATTTTATATTTTGCTCTTTAGTCCGAACTCTAAATTGGAATGTTTCCAATAGAAATTAAAAATATTCACAAGTAGTCAGATTTAGAGTGTATAGATTTTAAAAAAATAAAAATGTTTCTTTAAATGAGTCAAAGTTGTTCAACCAATTTTGCAACTTTAAATTGTTATAAAATCTGATGTGTTAAATATGCATTGCATAATATGCTCTTCACCAAAAATTGGTCTGATTTTTCTTATATTCCAATCCTTAAACAATATAGTGAACTGCTATTATAGCAAGCTTCATTCTATATCAGCTCATAATGCCAAAGTTAAAAGAATCTTTTCTTTAATCAATAGTCAAATGGGTGGAATAAATTAGGCAGAATGAATTCTACAAAAGCCAAATATATTATGGAAAATATAGAATTAAAAAAATATGATTTGCGAGATATGTGAATTTAACTAATAAAGAAATAATTTGATTTATCAATTTGAACAAATTTTTTACATTTAAACGCAATCGTTTTTGTCCTTCTCACTTATAATTTCGTATAAAATCTTAAATTTCTTTGAAACCAATTTTAAAAGACTTAATAAGTCCAAAACCTAAATCTGCTTCCATGATAACAATTCCATTGATTTACCGAGTTGCAAATTACACACTTATGATATTTCATAAAAGTGATAATTCATAAAGCATGGATTTTAATTTAACAACTCACAGAATTATAAACATTTAGCTGGTATAAATTATGCATAAAAATTACATTATTAAAAGATATATAATTGTATAAAATTTAAATTTTTACAAGATTGTGGGATTGGATCCTTCCTTAAAAGCTTTTATTAATGGAAGACAATATTTCTTAATTTGATAAATTTCCATTTATTGATAAATTATCTAAATCTGAGGCATCCTGACCTTGAGTATACAATGTGAAATATTTATTAAAATAAAAACATCTATAACATAATTTCCAATATCTAATGTCTTCTGGTGAGGTATCATATGGGTATTATATAAAATTTCCATTAAAAATAAAATATATAATCTAGCATCACATGATATAAATTACTATTGGCTTAACATTTGTATGATGATTTTTATTGAACAAATATATTTTAAAAGAATACTATTGGCTAAATTTGATTGACGTTTTTTGAAGATTATTATAATAGATGGTAGTTAAATTATAGATGTTATTATATGAGATGAGTAGATGCATGTATGCATTAAAAATTAACGATTAGTATATTACAGAATACAAAATCAGATATGATATCCAATCGGTAATCGGCCGATATAAATTTAATATCGGATCGACCTCCAAAATTAATATCGGTACACCCCTTGTTATAAGTATAATTTTTTTTACTTAGCATGGGAGAAAATGTTGTTTATAGTCAAGTTTATCAGGAAAACGATTTGTTTAAAGACATTTAATCAGCGCCTTTAACAACTAATTCGAAAAATATTTTGTCAAAATGAGTTAAATCTAGTTATTTAATTGCCTTGTGCCTTAGAATGCACTCTATAGTAGAGATCTGCAAAGTTAGGCCCGGCCCGTACCCTGCCCTAGTCCGGCCCGGCCCGAACGGGCCTCGGGCCTAATTCTATTTAAAATAATCGGGGAGGGGCGGGCCGGGCCTAATATTTTTAAAAAAATTTCGGGGCGGGCCGGGCCTAATATTTTTAAAAAAATTTCGGGCCGGGTCGAGTCGGACTATGGAAATTTTACTAAATATATCTAAATTTATCAATTTTATATTGAATTTTTATGTTAAAAATTTATGATTTAAATTATTGAAACTAAACGCTATATAACATATGTCTTTTATTTTAAGTAATTATAAAAACTAATTTCTATATTTAAATAAATTCGGGCCGGGCCGGTAAATTTTTTAAAAATAAATTTCGGGCCGGGCCGACAAAATTTTTTTAAAAAAATTTCGAGCCGGGCCGGGCTTGAAAAATTAGGCCCAATGCTGATCACTACTCTATAGCACCAAAAAAAGATAAAATTTCGCTGACATCGACAACTTTTTGTAAAATCGTTAAACATAATTAAAGATTTTATTATCATTTACTAAAATTAAAGTGAATTCAGTAAATTTTTTAATTTATCTAAGCATGTTTATTTGTTCACCTTTGTTGAATTTACTTGTATAGGTCCTAATTCTGATCATTTAGTCATAATTTCATGAATAGCACTTCATCCCACATTTAGTAGCGTTTTTTAGGACCAATTATAATAGTTAGAAAAATGATCGACTGATAAGCTTTTTCTATCCCTGGTTGAAATTTCGTTCATTAAGTTGAAGCCTCGATCATCTTCTGCATTGCTAATGCAAATTGTATTTGCAGTTTTTTTCAATAGTTTGGGTATGGATGTTTTCTATTTGATTTGATAAATTTTTTAATATAATTTTGAAAATCATTTCAAATTTTAATAGTTTGGATAACTGTTTTCATTTTTCTTCCCCTTTTCTCCGGGGAGATTTTATTTCTTCTATTGGAGAAAATGTTGCGTGGCCAATAACTTTTTTTAGCAATTTATTGCGTAATAAAAGTGAAATTTAATTAAAATTGACGCCATTTTTTAGTAGCTCAATCATTCTTTAACCCTGTTAGATCGTTTCATTAATTCATCAGCTTTTAATAAATTAATCGATCTCGATTTTAAGGTGTAAACTGATCCGATATTTTCATTGTTTTTGTTTATTTTATGACTTATATAATATTTTTTATTTATACATAATTTCATATAAATTAATAGAAGGAACCAAAATTAGATTTATTTATAATGTAAAAAATTATTTTGAAATATAGTAAAAAAAAAATTTATTTTTTATTATATCTGCAACCAAAAAGGAATTAAAACTAACGAGTCATATTCGGTTACTGTAACGGCTAGATTTACCCTATATTTAAAAACGCCAAACTCAAAATTTAGCGAAAAGTAAATTACTCAGACTTGGAGATTTTATTCACAGTCGGGGCTTAGGTAATAATATATTTTGACTAAAATATTGATTTTTTATAACATTGGTTCAAAGACATAAATCGATCTAAATATCGGATCCGTTTTGTAGTATCGTATCGGTGAGAAATTTATGAATCGACACTTGCCTAGTTGCGGATAGGTATAAATCTCAGTAGCAATGGAGGAAATTTATTTAATTCTTATTAGATTGTTGATATATGATGTTTATCAAAAATTTCCTTAAATGTGTTTGATGCAAATAGCAATATTAAAATCACCCAGTACTGAAGTCTCTGATTGAGGCAGTACCAGATTATGGTATTAGAGAATTTCTGTAGAATTTGGTTGATATATTCCAAATTTTTCAAGTATTACTTTGAAAGCAGAATGCAATTAAATTATTTTTAAATATTTTTCATTGAAATTATATTGTTCCAAACAAAATATGAGAGAATTATAGATAGAGTTGGTTGGCTATTGTTTTGTCATATATACTTGTTGAACATCGGATTTTATATATTTTTCAAAATTACATTTTACCAACCTGTTCGAAAACTGATTTGCTTCTAATTAACAACCCCTTTGCCAGGCATTAGAAAAATTTGGCAACTGGTATGAATTGGTTCCAACCCAGCTCTGCATTTAATTTAAAATAAATATGTTGGGACGGAAGTTATTTAAGAGATGATGACATAGCTACATCTAAATCTAATTTGTATGATAAAATACTTTATCTGTCAAAATAATATTAAAAAAATAGAAATTAACACTTGTATCTCGTCGCCGCGGTGATCTGACAGAATACCGCATTTTTAACTAAATATTTAAAATGTATATAGAAGGAATCTTAAATTATCCGGTACATTTATTTTATTTTTGAAATAAATGGGAGGATTTTTATCCATTATTTCATAACCCAGCTTCACTTATATATTTTTAATAAATTATTATCCGCATGAAGTTTTTTAAAAATAAATTATAATATATTTATATTGCAAGGCAAAAGAAAAAAGAATTCAAAAATTGGAGACTGATATTCAACAAATGTCAGAAATTACAGCAAATTTTGAAAACAAAAAATTAAATTACATTGATAAAATTAAAACTTTGGAGGTAAATTAATATTATGATTTTAAGTTTTATTTTGCTTTTTCTAATATAGTCATTAGTCATTATTATGATATATAAATTTTTATATATTACTAAACTTTTTGCCTTAGCCTGATCTTTGGCTGGAGGGAATAGAAAATGACTCTTCATTCGGGTAGGAGAGGAGGGTGGCCTTCGGCCGGCTGACGGATGGGATGGGAATATTAGTGAAATAGTTTTCATATTTTTTTTTATCTAGAGATGTCTTTGACTCTTTTGATTGACATTCTAAGGCTATGCTTCAATAATATAGATTAAAATATGATATGATAATTTTATTCATATAAATTCTTGAGTTATAGAAAGAAAGCAGGATCCGAACCTAAGCCAGTATTAACCTTTGTTATTTACCTAACCTAAAATTTTGTCACCCAAGCCTGGACCGAACCTCTAAAACGGTGAACCGATTCGAACTTTTTGATATACCAACTTTTTAACGATTATTTAAATTAGGGTTGTGCCGATTGGCTTTTTTTTAAAAATATTGGATCTGGCCAATATTTCATAAACTGATTCGATGTGATATTTTTGTTTTTCATTTTAGATTATATATATAATTATATATTTTTTATTTTATACATAATTTAATAATAATAAATTAATAAAGGGAACCAAAATTCAATTTATTTGTAATGTTTAAAAAATATATTTTAAAAGATAGTTAGCTAAAAATTTGGTAGAGCTATTATGCTACCGTTTGAAGAAGAAAATAATATCCAGTGGCACAAATAATTTGGGCCCGATCCGATTATTCGATAAAAAACAAAAAATGAGGCAAAATGTTGGGTTCGAGGACGGGACAAATGGAATCCTTCATAACGATTACATTAGGAAACGTGATCGAATTTTGAGAAATTTCTTGCTTAGATATTATATTTACCTTTAGAAATTTTTTATTTTATAACATAATGCAAAATTGTTTTTAATATAAAATATTAAGTTATAATTTTTTTAATCTTACCACTTTCACTTTGAATTTATATAAAATAACCACATATCACTTATTGATTGTGGCCCGTTTTATATTCAGATAAACATAATTCCAAAAAACTTTAGGATTATACCCAAGGTAATTGTTAATGAAAAGAAAAATAATCGGGATAATCCGTTAAAATCCCGGAAGACAAAAGACAAAAAATAATGATCTTATTTATACGAATAATAGTAATATGATTTAAAGTTCTCAGGTTGAATCCTGAACTATAATTATAAATAAAGATAATTTCCTTAATTTTTTTATAATAATCTATCAATTAAATTTTTCATCTTTTTTGCATTACGAAAGAAGATTGATATTTTTCTTTTATTTTTATAAAAATAATAATCGTATAAAGCTGTGACATTTTTTTGTCATTATCAGCAATAAGAAAAGGATTTGAACATATCTAACGAGTAACATTCAACTGTGTTGTTAAATTTTACCAGATTTTTGAAAACGACTAACTCAAGATTTCAGCCAAAATAAAAATACTCAAGTTTGGAAATTTTGCTCGGAGATGACAGATTGGCTCATAATTTACCTGTTTTTAAAAATCGCCGTTTAGTTATAAATATTCCCCATTTTTAAATAATATGATTAACTTTGGGGGAATAAAATCATTCGTGAAAATTAGTTGGCATTATATAATGTTAGTTAAGATAGATGATGAATAAAAATCAATCAATATTGGATCAGTATTAATCAGATTGGTTTTAAAGTAATATCAGATCGAATAGGTGGGTTTTGGATCGGCACAGCCCTAATTTGTATCAATTTTGATTGATCAGTATCAATAGTTATTTTTAGATATTTTTAAGTTAGCATAAAGAAATATCTTTGACCATCAAATTTATTCTTTTTTTTTATGCACATAATTAACAGAAAAGTATATTCGAAATATTTTAATTGCATATGTATTTCACCTAATTGATATTATTATTTAAGAACCTCTTTATCTGAACCTATGCGGTTCAATTTTCGAATACACCATATAAAGTTTTAGAGCATAAATTGATTTTTTAACTTGGCTCATTTTTATGCATCATTTTTTTTGAATTTTTTTTAAATGAAAAAGACACCTATAAGAGCAAGCCTGCTTAGAACCCTCTAAGCTTAAGCGGGAAAAAGGTAGGCTAGATAATTATGTTGATAAAACTTGCCCTTTTATTGTCTTTATGTAAATCACATTAATTCTAATCTAGGCTGACGATTCATCATTAAGATTCATTTAAAAATGTACATGGGGGAGACCGGGGATGGTTGTGACATTTTTCGTTCAAACCTTAAAATATCAACAGACTAATCTGAATAAGTAAAACATCTTCTGAAGCCCATAAGTATAGGCTATTTGAAATAATTATATATTTTTTAAAGACTATATTTTTTTAAAAAATTGAATTAAAAATTTTTTTTTGTCATAATCATGATAGACTGACTGTGACACACATATATGATAGTTGGGACACTCATGAAACAGAGGTCTAAATTTATTTAAAATCAGTAATCTAGTAAGACTAGCACTAGAGACTATAACACATTTGATTTTATTGATAATATTGTAATTCATAATAACTATATAAAAAGCAAAATTTAGGAAATTTATTTTGGTAAAAATAAAAAATGTTTTTAAACATAAACATAGTGAAATGAGTATTTATTACATTTATTGTACATAAAACAATTATCAAATTTGGCACAACTTTCGTGTGCCCATCCAATACAACCCATGCATTGGTACTAATCTTCCTTTTCATAATTTTTTTTATATTTTTTGTGACATATAATGCAAATATTTTCTTTTATTTTTTAATATTTTTAGTTAATCTAGTCTTCTTTTCATTTCCTATGTTATTAAGAGGTAATATAAGTTTTTTTGAGATTTTGTCTCTACTTTTTTTATTATTTATTTTTGATAATAGGATCTTCTTAAAGGGTGAAGAATTTCAGATTTTTTACTTCTTTTGTTGTCTATATTTCTCATAAGTTTAAGAAGTGGATATATATAATATCAAATAAATTATCTTATTTATATTGATTTATATCATTATAATTTTGAAAAGTTGTGACTCTGACTGAGGCGTAAAAATTATTTTCTAATTTTAAAGTGTTCGAAATATTTAATGGTTCTGGTGTTGATTTTTCTAATGTTGTCTGACTATTGTCTTTAAAAATTATAGGTAAATAATCCATATTTTCAAATATATCAGAATTATAAGGATATATGCCCGTTTCCACAAAAAATTTTATAATGTTTTTGTTAGGGCGAGTGGTAGTATATTTTTTTACTACTTTAGAAATGTCATAAACATTAAATAATTTATTTGAATTACTGCGCATCCAGTAGCCTACGGAGTTAATATAATATTTTTTTAATGGCCCAAAAATGCACCTGTCAAGGGGTTGCATTTTTTGAGTGGTATGTTCACAAAAAGTCATAAATTTTTGAAGGGGCTTTTCAGGTAGTGGTCTCACTTGATCCACGAAATGTTCTAAATAATCCATAAATTCCGTTTCTTGCATTTAACCTGACCCATTTGAACGGCCTATACAACCATTAGGTTCATCTCTTTTAAAATGTTCAAAAACTTTTTTCTTGGGAAAAGGAACATAGGCGGTTTGACATTTCCTGCAGAATGGTTACTAGAGTTCCTCTTTCAGCAGATGTTATAGCTGCAACTTGCTTTTGACCTTTCTGGGCTATTATTTTACTGAAATTTTGTATAGTTATTAATCCACTTTCATCCATATTGTATATTGCTGATGGTGGCAGCTTATATTTATCAAGAATATCTTTGTAGGGGCTAAAAAATAAATCCACACCAGATTTATTAAGCTAGAGGCCCTAGTCAATCTTATAGCTTCTGGAGATCATATAGATAATTGTGAATTTCTTTTCATAAAGCAAGAGAACCAATCATCGCCCGTCATTTTAAAGTCATTCCAATTGGGTGGAATTTTCTTATTATATATTACTGCTACTTGATAAACCAATTCTTTAACCTAATGCATAATAATATACAAATTAAATGATTTATAACAAAAGTTTAAATGGTGAGAAATATAATTATCACTATGAGATCATTGTGATAATGTTCTCAGCATTTAAAATGATATCATTATTCACAATACTATATTAATAATAAAATGTTCATTTCATACTTAAAGTTTATTAATTTGTTTATAAATTCTCATTGTGAAATGTTCTCATCATTTAAATTAATATCATTATTCACAATACTAAATTAATAATAAAATGTTCATTTTATACTTAAAAATTATTAACTTGTTTATAGATTATTATTGTGATGATGAATCCTATGATCATTATTATAATGTTTAAAAATTATTAAACACATCATAGAAAATGCTTAATTTTTAATGACATGTAGGATAACATAAAAAGTTATCAAGCAAACAAAATGATAATCAGAAATTTTATTCAATCGACTGTTATGGCATAATAGTTATTGATAATTTATCAAATAGTATAATGTTTTTAAACATCAGCTACATTATATGTAATGAAATATGAAAAAACTTCAGAATGTTTAGAAAAGAGATCAAATTGATAATGAATATTTTATTATTAATTTAGTATTGTGAATAATGATATTATTTTAAATGGTGAGAAATCCCAGGATAAGAATAAATAAATTTCATTAAGCTTATAAAGGACTGGAATATAATTTTAACTTTAAACATTGCATATAAAATATTAAATTAAAATCTAGTAATTAGCTGATCTGTTTTTTTTGGTAAGTCCATAAAAATTTTAGAGTATTTTAATATGTTCCTCCACTTTAATAAAACATTTATGATTTAAATAGCCCATTGTAGGTAGGGCTGGGAACCAATATTAAAAACCCAATATAAACAAAATATTGTATTGGTATTGGGTCTAAAATATTGGTATTGGTTTAAACAATATTTTCTATTTCTTGTATTGGTATTGGTTTATATTGGTATTGGTTTAAATTCAAATTACTAATTAAAAGAATAGAAATAGTGATTATAAAACTCTTAATTTCTAGTTTTAAATAAACATGGAAAAAAAAATCATGAAGCATTACCATAAAAACAAGGCTAAGAACCAACTCCCAAAATTTTACTAAATCCAAATTCTTTTTTTAAACTAATATATTTTTGAAATCAACAAACCAATCAAATAATAAACGTATATTTTGAAACTTTTTATTTAGCACAAAGAATATAGCAAAATGAATACACTAAAAATGTAACATAATTGTCTATTTATATAAAATATAGTGCAAAAGATTGTAATATAAAGAAAAAAATTTATGTATTTAAGAAGAATCCTTCATGCGCATCCAACTTTTTAAGCACAGGCAAGCTTGGATAGTATGCTCATCTAGTGAACAACGTTGATCTGTTATAAGATACCTTCCTTCTGAAAAAGCCCTTTCAGAGCTAGATGAAGAAGCTGTAATTGCAAGATAATCTCTGGCAATTTTTGATAATATTGGATATCTATTTTTATTTAATTTCCACCAGTCTAATGGATTTGTATCATTATAAATTGTGGCTTCCTCCACATATTTGCTTATTTCTAAGTTATTATTGTTGTGACTAGGTTTAAATATATTGTCAAAAAAGGATAATTTTTTGTTATTTTGTGTTTCATTTGTAGGTTCAGCTGAATTGTAATTATTTGTTTTATAAATATTATATTCATTGGTTAGACATCCAATAAGAGTTTCTATACTATTATGCTTTAATAAGTGACTTGATAGTTTGGGTCAATCATTGTTGAGATAATATATAGGTGTTTATTAAAATTATAGTATTTATTAAGTTTTGTCAAGGCAGCTAATGAAGCTTTCTTTAAAATCACATTAGGATTATTATCATAACTCTCAACGTGCTCAAAAATACTGGAATATAAAGGAATGATTGTTGAAACTGATGGAGTATTAGCACATGAGGCCATCTCTGTAGCAAAATTAAATGGTTCTAAAAATTCTCGGTATATTTCAATATTATTCCAAGCTAAGGCACTAATATAATATTCTTCATTAGTATTTTGTTGATGATTGGTATATATTGTGAGATAAGGTTTAAGCAATATAGCCCTTTCGAGCATTTGGTACGTTGAATTCCAACGTGTTGGTATATCCAAAATAGGGTGAGGAAATTTTAAATTTGGATTTTTTTCAAGATATGTTTTTTCAAGTTTATTAAATTTAGATATAGAAAGTTTAAAAATTTTTTAAAAATTTCTTATTTTTTTTAAAGTTGGATTTAGAGGTTCCAATGCAGCCATGACAGATAAATGGATAATATGGCAAAAACATTTGCACACATTACAAAATTGTCTTTTAGTTTTAAAATTTTTAAAAATGCTAAATTATTACTAGCATTATCTAATGTAATACAAAAAAAATCAATTTCAAATTTTACTTTTAATACAGAATTAAAAATATTATAAATATTAATAGCATTATGTGCTGATTTAAAAGGAATAAAATCTAATAAATGATTAATTAATTTAAAATCATTATCAATATAATGAATGGTTATGCCCATAAAGGGTATTTTATTTGGAGAGGACCAAATGTCCATTGTTAAAGAAAATTTAGAAGTAATTTTAGAAAGTACAGATTTTAAATTGATAAAAGAACTATGATAATGTTTCATAATTTCTTTTTTAAGTGTTTTTCTAGAAATTAATGTTAATGAGGGGTTGCAAAAGCTTATTAAATTTTTAAATGACTTATTTTCAACCATTGAAAAGGCTAAATTATTTTGAATAAAAAAGTCCATAATTAAATTATTTAAATTAGCTTTATTATTTACATTATTAATTAAAAATGATTTTATGGTGTTAATTTTTTTACTGCCATTATTTATTTGTTCACATTTCTTATATAAAGTTGTGGATGGATTTAAGATGTGTCCATAATCCTGAGGTTCCAAAATTGGGAATAGATAATTCTTTTTTACATTTATTACAAATAGCCTTTTTTTGTTATCACAACTAGTATAAAATTCCCAGATTTTTGCTGTATTTCGTCTTTTATTAGATATCGTTGATTCTTCTTGTTCATTATCGCTATTATTATTAGTATCAACATCATTATCTATATTTATTAACTCGATTTGGTTTTCATTCATTATAATATCCTAAATGAATTAATAGATAAAATTGATAGATATCATATAGAAAACTTACTTCCATAATAAAAATAAACTATAATTATAAATAACACCAATATTGATATCACAGGAATATTTGGAAGAAATAACAGATGTAATATGTTTATGAATGAAAGTAAAAAAATATACCACGATATAATTATCCACGATAAAACCAAATAATTTTATGTATTTATCTATTTTAAATTTTTAATATTGGTATTGGTTAAAATTGTATTTAAACATTATTTCAAAACCAATATATTTAGGTAATTGGTATTGGTAATGGTTGTAAAAACAATACCAATATTTAATTATATATTGGTTTATATTGGTATTGGTATTGTAAACCAATATTATATTGGTATTGGTCCCACCCCTAATTGTAGGTATTGTATAATTTTCATTTTCTACTTTTTTGATAAATATCTAGCTTAGGGATGTACCGATATTTTATATCGGATTGGGCGATATTTCACCCATTTTAATATATCGGTTATCGGCAAATATAAAGTTTTCCGATCCGATAAAAAATTGGTGTTTTTAACAAAAATAAAATATTATAAAATTTCAAAAAAACTAAAAAACCATTTATTTTTATAAACAAAATCGTAATCCATTTTATGTTTAATATTTTTAATAGTAATAATTAGTTAAAAACATTCTGCCATATTGTTATTTTTTTTCGCATTCTGTTTATAAAATGTGCAATAATCTCTTCAGAATCTGTTTTTAGTGGAGCTAGTGATATTTACAGTCCCCATCACCGCAGACTGACCTCTGATAAATTGGAAATTTTGGTATTTCTAAAAAGAAATCTTCGATATATTAATTTAAATATTTATTTCAAATTTCATAATATATTTGTTTATTACTTATTATGTAAATAGGTTAATGTTATTATTTATTATATAAATAAGTGATTTTTTAATAAAAATATTTTATAAGATGTTATACAAATAAAAAGTATATTAAAACCATTGGTATCTTTACAGAATACAAAATTAGATAAGATATCGGATCGGTAATCGGCCGATATCAATTTAATATCGGGAATATCCGATCGGATTAACCTCCAAAAAGTGGTATCGGTACACCCCTCTAGCTATATTTGATTTTGGAATACCTTAATCTTACCTGTAAGTAATGATAACTTTCTGATTGAGGTTGTTGGATATATATTTAAAGCATTTTCATAATCTTCTGTACAGAAGATTTTCCTATCCTTTTTATTGTATTCATCATCACTAGTAAATGATAAAATAAGCTAAAATGGCTTGTCCCAACTATACTATGACTGAGCTCACTAACTTTATAAATATCATCCAAAATCATTTCATGTTTATATATTTTGAAAGCTTGTCAGATTAAAAAATAAGGTTGTAGTTTTCCTAAAATCTATTAAGATTTTTAAAGTTCTATTTATAAATATAAACGATAAAGTTTGCAAATATTTTTTATTACTTTTGGTATGCCAAAACACATTTTCTTCTGTAAAAATTAAAACACTAAATATTTTTCAAATCTTTTTAGCAAATCAAGTATGACGTTATATGTTAGGTTCAAATTTCCAGTTTTATAAAATAATAGCTCAAATTATAATTGGAGTGACCTAACGTTCCCTTGTCTTCAATGTACTCCGATTTCCCCTACTCCGCCATTGAAAGGTATAAAATTTATGCGTAAAAGCATTTAGACGAAATCCTTTCAATAGTGCTTATTACAACTGATTTAATAACTATTTATATATAAATTTATAGTCTAGGTTCGCATTAATGCCATTGCTTCACGCACAAATACAAAATTTAACTATGCAATTTTTAAAAATAATAGATATCTCTAATTATCTTATATTTTATATTCTAAATTTTTTATTTTTTACTGCTTTAGAATGAACTGAAGGAATTTAAACAGAATAAAATTATCTCACAATCTACAGGGATGATAGAATCATCAGCCAATAATAAAACTATTCATTTACTCAAGTTTAAAATGATTCATAGGGAAATTTTAAAGAGCAAAGAGCAAGTTAATTATTATATAATTTCTATTATAATTCTCTAAGAAAATTTTATTTGTGAAGGCCTATTATAACCTTAATGGTCACCACCTTCATTCCATTTATTATCCATTTCCATGTATATATAATAAAAATGTTCAATCACATTAATCATTTTAAAATAATTTTCGTTAATATCTTTGCCTCAATTTGATAATACTATTGTTATGAAATCGATTGAAAAAACTTGGGTCAGCCTCGATACGCGAATCCATTTCGGCTAAGAACTCTGCTAAGCCGTTTTGGAGGCAGCTCGAGCGAATCTATTTATTAACACTTTATATGTAATAAAATTTCGTTTTTTTAAAAAAATTTACATTTTTATCCATTATAATAGACAGGGACCATCAAGCAAGATTTGGAATATATTAAAACCTCGATAAATAAATATATAATGGACCAATCCTTATTATCACGTCTGTTAATTTCTAAATTGCCGATACTGAAAAATGTTATATATTTTTTATTTATCAGATAATATTATATCATTTAAAGCTCCCTGAATCGAATCATAATTTTACAGAAAATATCGAAAATAGGTCTGGTCCTTAATCAATAGATCCTTAAATATGTGTATTTTTTTATTTATATAACAAGATAGCCAATCCACAAATATCGTTCGAGAAAGTACCACTTGTGCCAGTAAAATCCTGACATCTCATAAACCTGCTGAATTGGGTTTATCTGATGGAAATGAGAATTATAATAATAAAAACAAACGTTTATTCGATAAAGATATGGCAATTCAAACGATACTAACTGGAGAAAACTGCAAAGATTTTGACAAACACTCAAATAATTGCACAAAGGGTAGAAAATCATCTACTATAGAATCAATTTTCATGGAAGATAATGAAACAAAGCACAAGAGGTTACTTAAAGAGCCCCCAGGAAACTACGATCACTTATATTATTTCCAACACGAATCAAAAAGCAAAGAAAATATGTTAAAATTTCTTAAAAAAAAGTTGGTAGCCGCTGAAGAAAAAAACAGGCTGATGGAGCGAAATTATATTAATGCGGAATACATGTACCAAGAACAATTGAAGTTTTTGAAGCGAGAAATGAGACAAATAGAAACATATCAAAATTTAGAAAATTTAATTAAAAAAGATGCTGTCAAAACTAAATCCCTACAACTTCCCATTTCGCCAATCGAAAATTATGTAACATTTGACTCTACATCTGATATAATATGCGATATCGGTACCTCTTCACCCGTGTTAATTTATTTACGTAATCTTTTCTTAAATTATTTGAAATGTGAAAACAAGGATGTTAAAGCTAAGAAGTCCATGATCAGAGCAATTTGTACGATTTTAAAGTTTAACTCTAGCGAAATATCTCAAATTAAAATTTTGTAAATATTAAATAATTCGTGAGGCATTTATTATAGATGTTATAAAGCCTATATTTTTTCATTATTATAAATATACAATCTACTTATATTTTTGGAATTATATTTATTTATCTCAATTTTATTTTGTTATGATTATAATTGAATAAAGTTTATTTGTTTTAGTCAAACAGACGCATGAGCAGGAATTTTATTTTAAGGTAAAAGAGGGGAGATAATTTTTTTATTAAAAAATATCTAATTTTTTTGATACATAAATTTATCAAAACTAATCATAGGCGTATCTATGATTTTCCTTTATTAGGTGAAGTTTTGGAGGTCTTTAGGTCCACTTATTGTTGATTTTTAGTTTGGCTAGATGTTATATTTATATAAAAACAATTGGTTTTTGGTTAATTCCATGACAAATCGATCAGTGATTAGGACGACGATTTTAAAAATGTATGAAACTTGGTATGAAGGTTAAATAGATTGTATATTTTATACAAATTAAAATTTAATCATCTAGCTTAAATTTATCTCGAGTTATGAACCTTCAAAGTTCGATGAGAGCCTTTTCCTCTTTTAAAGAATATAAAATTACTCAAAATATTTTTTGGTCTAACATAACAAATTATATATCATTTTGTAGCCCTTAAAATTCTCCTTAAGAAAATGCAAAAAATGAGTTTCATCGTTTTAAACGTCCTTTTATAATTGATTTTTGTTCCTTAAATTATAAAAAACTAAATATAATTTAAATTATTATTTTCTCCATAAATATTTTTGCTTATATATTTAAGTATATTGGTAATCAGTGAGTTTTATCTTTTCATATTAGGTCCTTCTCAAATTATTTTTGTTTTACCAGGAAATACAATGACACTGAAGATATTTTTAAAATAATTTTTGCATTATATATCAAGGACCCGCAGACCCTGGCCATTTTTCTATTGACCTCGGAATTATAAATTTATTGAGATCAGGTAGCGAGGGGTCTAAGCCCCCCTCATATTTTATTTTGATTTTTAGCCTCCTTTCCAAATTTTGAGGAGGGGCTGAGCTCCCTCAAAAATTTTAATATTTTTTTCAAAAGTATTAAATTTGAATCCTTTTCTACTTATTATTATAAATATTGAAATTTTTATAATAGTCAAAAATCTTTTTCATATTTTTTTTATATTTATAAGTCCCTGCCGTTTCCGCTTTATTTAAAGTATAGAATATGGCTCCCTTTTTGACAGGTTTGTGAAAACTATTAGCCTCGATTGGTTTAAACTTAAAGGTTGCTCAATATTTAAAAAAAAATATACTTTTGCCTTAAGGTTTAGCAAATTTTTTCGACTGTTATTTAGTCGATTTAACAATACCACTGACATGATATCGTAAAATTTTAAAAAATCTTTTAAATAAATTTAAATTCGAATAAGTAAGTTGTTAGGAATCAATTTGTTTTGAAAGAAATAATAAATTGTGATATATCAAATTCTTTCTGTCAGTTTACTATTTTGATTGATGATATTCAGAAAAAATTTTGCAAATACATGACAGAAAATTTATTGGATACAAACCTCCAAGATTTATTCCTAACCCCCTGAAAAAAATTTGCCTACAGGCTAGGAATAATAATAATTGGTAATAGTCAACTGGTTGTTACCAGCGTCTACATGACAGGTTTTTCACTGAATGCAAACCTTCAAAAACCTATGCCTACCCCCCCCCCCTAAAAAATCCTCGCCGCCTTCGACGGCGATGTTCCACTATTTTTAATTTCACCTTTTTAATTGTAATGATACTCTTTCAGAAAATTCGACATTTTGTGAATATAACGGAGTTTTTTTAGATAATAAATTCAATTATAACCCCTATCATTTGTAATGAATTCATTATTATAGCATAATGAGCTTGATGAAAATGTCTAAACCTTTTAAATTACATTTGAAAGGCTAGCAAGTTATGTTTGGAAATTAATGTCTATGATTGTTTGCAATATATAGATTTGGTTGATGAATTGTATTATAAGAGGTCTATAATAAAAGTATTAATTTTTACAGCAATTTGTCCTATTTGATCTCAAAGTTTAATAAATACCCCCCCCCCCTCCCAAAAATAATATTTTTTTTATCTTACCCCCATCAAAGCCACCTACCCCCTTTCTCAAAAAATAGGATGCGATGCCCCCCCCGTTCATGTAGACGCTGGATGTTACTAACCATATTTTAAATATTAGCTACGAGCTTGTATATCTTAAACTGTTCTAAAATGTTATCTGTTAATGAATGATAAATATACCTAAAACGAATTATTTTTATTCGAATCGTATTTTACGAATGCGAATAATTATTCGAATTCGAATAATAAATATATATTATTCGTCGAATAATTTTTTATCTATTATTCGATCCAATTATTCGAATATAATAAATAGTATTCATCCTTCTTTTTTTTACATAATTATTTATAAAACAAACATTTTACATTATTCTTTAATGTTAACTCCAGAACTTAATAGTAATGTTAAAATTTAATTAGTAAATTCATTTATTTGATCGTATGTTCGGGCTAAATTTGCTTGCGCTAATGAATTTATAGCATTGATTAAGAAGTAGGCGACAAATATTATTACAATTAACTGGGTAAATATATCTTCATACTTGTTTATATCCTGAATGATGCGTATATCATCTCGAAATGTGTATCTCTGGATATGGCCTTGTAAATATAAACAAACCCTTAATCCAATTTTCGGAATTTTTTTAATATAACAAAATAAATTTGGTAAATATTTATCGCTCATAATCATTATTATGATTAAGGATTGACATTGAGATTTAATAAACGCTTTTCCAATTATGATAGCTAGAAAAAATTTCCAAAAAGGCATCAAACCATGACCGCTTGCTAAGCCAGCAAAGTCAAAGAATGGATTAGGTATGGATGCAAATGCTAATATGCCCATGAATCCTAAATAATCGACCAATAATTGAGTCATTTTTTTTATAGTAAATTTTTCATTTACCCTGCATTTGGGATTCATTTTGTTAACGTAAGGTAATTCTTTTATTTGGTTTTGGAGCAAACTAGGTGATTCATTTATGTTCTTTTCCTTGTCTAAATATATATAACTATTAACAGTATCACATTCTATAAATTTTTCGAATGTTTTTGATAATCGTTTCTTTTTATATATAGCTTCTGTCAATCTAGCATTTCTCCCTAAAAATAAAAAAATTTACATATATTGGTGGTTAAATTAATACCCAAAAAATAAGCTGGAAGTTCACCGATCGCTGTTCCAAAACCCCATATAAGTACTTCTTTATACACTTTCGAATAAATGTTGAAAATACTTATCTTTTTAGAAAATAAATTCATCCAAAGAAGCCATTTAATCTTTGGGCACCATATTTTATCCGGGTATGGTGGGCTAGGAAAATTCAAACTCTGACACTTATGCGCTGCTATCGTAACATTTGCTAGAAATGGACCTGGTTTAATGTAATTAACAAAAATTAATTTACGATTAATATTTAAAAAATCAAATTTTGATGCAAGATCTCACATTGTAAAATATACAAAAATACGAATCGAATAGCATTATTTGTTCGATATGTATTTTTGAATCGAATAATTTCATACTGATTCGATTCGAAAATTAAATTTTTAAAAATATTTTCAAAAATGAAAAGTTGGATTATTAAAATTTAAAAAAGTGATTTATGAATATTGAAAAAAAAAGTAAAAAAATAAAAGTTCCGCAAGGAACATGATAAATATTTATGAATAATTTTGAATATTTACGAATAATTTTAAATAATCTTATCCAATAAAATATTTATTTTAGTTTATAATATAAAAATACAAAAATAAATTAGAAATTGTTAAACAAAATTCTTTTAATTCAAGAATTTTTAAAGCACACACGTGGAATTATGATACAATTTATTATAATTTTAATAAATTTTTTAGATAAATGTAAAAATGTTTTCTAATAAGTCAATTCACAACTTTTTATTTTTAAAAAAATTTGAGGTATAGGCGGAAAAACTCAAACAATATCACAAGAAAAATTCAAAGGTCTATATTTTGAGATATATTTATACGTGGGATAAGCACATCTTGTTTAAATTATTCATCAAAGAAATATAGTTTACTCACGATTCTCATAAAAACATAATGTGACATTAAATTTTTATTAAATGGATTAAAAGTGAACATTATTTTTTTGAGTATGGACTAGTTTTTCAACTCAGTCATCAACAAGGCAATTGCACGATTTTTAGCTCTATAATCTGTTTTATTTTTGCGATAGAGAACTTCACAACCATATAATTATTTTCAGAAAAATATTTTATATAAAAATAAATATTATTCTAAACCCAACCATATTATTTAGTCCAAAGCCCCTGGACTTAGCCCAAACAAAGTTTTATTAAAATCAAACAGATACTTTTGCCAGATTATTAGCCCTAAGTTATCAATTTGATTTTACTAATGGATAACTTCGCATATAATATCAAATTCAATGCTTTTCAGAAAAAAAATATATTAATTAATAAATATAAACTAGCCCTAACTCGCATTAGATCTTAGCCTACGACTATTTTGAATATAATTGAGCAGATATTGAAAAGTCAAATTTAAACTATCATATTTAATTATAAAATAAATATATTACTTTTTAAATGAATGTTTATCTCTAAAAATATCTCAAGGGCTTTTCCAAGGTTTTTTTATAATACCCCTTGGAGGTAATCTTTCTTCAATGACCTCACTCTGCAATAAACCTTAAACAGAGCAAAACTTCTCATAATTTTGCTTTATAAACAGCGTTACTCGAAAATTGGAGTGGTCCATTTGACTTTTTTTGAGATGATTGAGTTAGTTTAATAGCACATATTTTCAATTTCTTGGAACGATATACCAAGATAAAAACTATCCAGAATAATTAAATTTTAAAAATCCAGCGGGCCATAAATTAATTCAAAAGTTTCAAAAAATATGGGTCTGTATTAAAATATAATACCTGCCTTGAAATTTTCACCTCTGCAGGTCCTATATAGATAG